AATGATAAATGTTAGCTGTTTGATGGAACTGATAACTGAAAATTATATAAAGGGGATAATAATGTAATAATTAACAAACATAAAAGCTTCAAAGCTGTGCTATATAAACATGAGTTTTGTTTAACACAAGTCTTATGCCCTGGGAAAAGTAAAAAAATCAAATAAATGCATTTTGTTTTCATATCCTTTTTTTAACTGTAACATGAAATGCGAACTTTTCTCCACATTGAATAGCCTATTGATCGAATTTCCTTGTCTGATCAAATCTATTTTTATTAATTATTAAAAGTAGTTATGTACTAACTTTTCAAAACAAAAAACAAAATTATAAAAATAAAATTGTCTACCTTATAGTAACCGTACTCCATAACTGACTACCATAGCGAGAAGCATACATTATATGTACATATTAAGACTACTTAGGTGCAGTTGGAAAATTTTGTATAGCGCATGATGAATTTGGTGAAACTCTTACGTTTTCAATGGCACCAAGAATTAAATTAGTCGTAAACAGAATAACTATGGAGCTCATCGCAAACGTAATAAAGATAAAGCGTGTGAACTTGCTACTTTTTTACATTTCATCAAAAGTTTTAAAACTATTCGACTATTCCGTTAACCGACTAGTGGAGTCACAGTCAGCACAGCCGGTTGATGATAACCATTAGAATATTCGGCAGGGTCTGACTCCTCGACTAGTCGCTTTGCATGTACTATGTACTACGTTAGCCCTTACATCGCTTTGCAACAATTATTCGACTATTGCAACAATTAAATCCTATTAATCGAAATGTTGTTCTTTCATATGGGAATCTGAATAATGAAGATTTGTCCGCAGTTCTCAAGAACGGAGTTATTGCGGTTGGGCAAACACTTCGTTCCTAGTAGTTCTTGACATAGGTGAGCTAAAAAATTTGACTTTTTTTTTTGCAAAATTTTAAATTACCTTGCATGTATTATTTAGCTTAGCTTAGAGTGAAAAGTTACCAAGTCCAATTTTCTAAATTTTACAGCAGAGGAAGAAAGCTTTTTATAGCCTTTTTCTTCAAGTATTTCGCAAAAATTTGAACACAACATTTTGGCTGTTTAAAGCAAAGCAAAGATTTCGTATTATCCGGATTTTCGGAGCTTCTTTTGGACTAAGTAAATTTTTCTTTCATTGAATATAAACAAGAATAAATAAAATAAGTACCTTTATCGTTTTCGAAATAATGCAGAAAAATCTAGCCTCCTGTATCAAAATATGAGTTTCAATAAAAAGTCGACTTAGCAACTTTTCACTCTAAGCTAGCTAGAGTCTAAAATACCTCGTGTACTTCTGCGATAATTGAAATATTCTTTGAGTGGTAGTAAAATGCACCAGAAATCAAGTCTTAGGCATAAAATATTGTAATGAAAGTATGCCTTCCGGGATAATGGCGGTCATAAAAGCAAAACATATCAAAAAAGGAAACAAGATATTCATAATTAATTTTCAATATAGTCCATAAGTGGTTGTGGTAATTTAAATATGCTAGAGAAATAGACTATATTCCAAAAATTTGGAGCTATAAGCTTAAATAGCAATGCGATTATTGCATAACCGTTCTACTGACTTCAACCGTTACTGTATAGGAATGGACTCGTACTTCCATCTGCTTTTTAACAGTTTCCAAAATGCTCCCTTTTTATCACTCTATTGGCTTTTTAGCAACAACAGATTTTACCCATATATTTATTTAATTTGTATACATTAGTAATGTAGCAAATGTCGTGTTTAGATTTTCATTTCGAGAACTAAAGATGAGAAAAATAATATTTTCAAAGGGTATATAAATGTCGTCTTGGTCGGAGGAGCTCGTAATAGTCGAATAACCCAAAAGTCAAATGGTCGAAATGGTCGAAAATAGTCAAATAGTCGATAGCGTCGACTAATGTCAGCTTCGAATAATTCGATTTACCGAGNATAAATTAAAAATGTTTCAAGAGACTTACCCGACATCCTTGTCGTGGTTAAGGGCTGTTAGGAAGCGAGGTTGCACGTACGTCCAGGCCCCTGAGTTCTTGTGTTCTTCCTGAACCCAGAATAGATCTGCGTTTTTATAAACGTTACTTTGCTCTTTGACTAAGTCGAATGGGAAGGGTGAAATCTATTAAGTAGTAAAAACGAAAAACCGTCAAATCAATAAAGCCTACTCAATCACTGTACAGTTTCCATCGTTTCTAACCTGTTCTACGCGTACGATGGCAATCTCCTTCTCTAATTTCTTGTCTTCACGCGCCTTTAACAGATCGTAAAAAACACGTCCAGTACAGAAGAGCACTTTCTTCACATTGTCTGCATTTTCTGCTGCAGGACCTTCATCAGGAATTACACGTCTGAATTCACTACCTTCGGCCATTTCCTTGAAAGGACTTCTTGCCAATGGGTGGCGGAGCAGGGACTTAGGAGTCATTAAAATCAGAGGCTTACGGAAAGGCATTGCAATCTGCCGACGTAAAATGTGGTAATAATTGGCTGGTGTCGAGCAGTTGGCTACGATCATATTAATATCGTGCAATTGTCGAATAGCGAATTCATCAGATTCGGGAGGGAAATAATCGGGATCATCAGCGCACAGACTCAAGAAGCGTTCTAAACGACCGGATGAGTGTTCTGGACCCATGCCTTCCATGCCATGAGGCAAAAGGCAAACCAATCCCGATTGGCGAACCCATTTGGCTTGGCCGCTCGAGATAAATTGATCAATAATACATTGAGCAGTGTTACAGAAATCTCCGAACTGAGCTT